AAGCTGAACATAGCAAAGTACAGAGTTATCCTTAATGAAAATCTGGTCCAGAGCATCAGAACCTCAGACTGGGCTGTAGAAATATCTCGCAACAAGACAATGACCCTAAGCACACAGCTGAGAAAATATAACAGTGGCTTAGGGACCTGAGGCCTGAAATCAGCAGTTCACTTGCTCAGCAGGGGTTAATTCAGACCGACACATAATAACAGCAAGTAATACATAACATAGTAAGGCACAGAAATATAATAATAAACACAGACTCAGATTTGTGCTGAAAAAGCAGTGGTCTTTTATTTAGCTTACAAATTATACAAACTTAACTTATTTACTTTAAAACACGTAAATTGTAACTAAAACATCTCCGGTCTTTAAACCCCCAGAGATTTAACATAGCTCACAAGAGTTCCGTCCTATTAGCCAGAACTTAAACAAAATGATAACGAAACTCAGCTAGTCCACAACCCCCACCCCTTTAAATTAGGCAGGTGACCACAACCCCAATAAAAGACCACGACAATTGAAATATAGTGAGGGCAGGGGAAAACAGCTCTACAGTTAACTTTTCTTCTTTCTTCTGGCGCCAAATATCACCTCAGTGCGCCTTATATATTGCGTTTTTTCCTGCTCCAGAGCACCCTCGTGGGGAAGCGCTCCAGTCAGAGCACTTTCCAAGCGAATCCCTGCATGGAAAATTCACAAGGGCATCGCAACAGCCGTTACTGATGCCTTCGCGACTAATAGCGATGCGTGCCGCACCTTGACCCCTGAATAACTCCGCGACGCACATGTGTACCTAGTCAATTGACTAGGTACATTCTGACTTTCCTTATCCAGGCTGACAGAGTTTGAGAGGATGTGCAGAGTTAACGTATCATGGGTCATTCACAGGTTAGCAGAGAGTGCTTTTTTTTTGTATTTGTATTTGGCAATTCTGACCTTGTTATTGACTTTTCTTCTTTTTGTAATCCTTGACCTTTTGGCCTGTCTTTTTGGTCACAGCATAGCCTGATATGATATTTCAGGTTTTTCTTCTGTTAAATACATTTGCATGGTGTCATAAATCAGTTTTTTGTTTTCTTATTATGGGGTATTGAGTGTAGATGGATGTAAAAAAAAAAATATTTTAATAATAGTAGCATAAGACTGCAACATACAAAATATGAAAAAATATCAAGGTCTGAATACTTTCTGAATGCACTGTAAACACACTGTGTAATTTTAATTTTAAAATGTAAATAAACTTGAGAGCGAAGATCCAAAGTGAGATGCAGCGACCTTATTATAAATGTTGACTCATAGTATCTGATTGCGTATATTTTCCCTTTTCAGAAAAATCTATCTGCTTGAGATTCACACTGTTTCAGTGATGGACTATCTTTTATTCAATCATACGGAAGAACTTGGCAAAAAGGACTATTTGTTGCTCACTGGCAGCCAATTTATAGCGTTTGCCATCACCTTAATTGCAACCATACCCAGAACTTTAAGAGGAAATGTGAGTACTGCCTCTACAAACATGGGCACTGCGAGGTGGTAAATATGCCAGCGGCTTCAGCCCCTCCTATATAAATTGACTGAAGCTCCAACACCAAGTCCAACATATTCTATAAATCATACTGAGACATGAAATCTTATGAGGAATGAACTCAGAGTGTTATATAAAGACCATACTTGCTATAGTAACCCTAAACTATGCTGTGGGTACAACTAACCTTGTACCCACTGCATTAATATACTGCACTTATAGCTATACTACACTGTGCTGTATAATTAACTTCAAATATGATGTTAATATGCACTGTCACAAATTATGCTTTTGGAGTTGTTATTGCTTGCTCAGTTTTACATGGGACTCAGGGCTTGTAGAATATTACTATGTTCCTATTTATATTCATAGTAGGCATGGGTGTCTAGTGGGATAAAAAGAACAGATGGTACTTTCATATGCTGTACCACGAGAAGTCTGGAATGTGGTAATTAAGGGTCTTGTCCCTATATGGCTAAGGTTATATTCTGACATCATTATGGTCATATCTATATAGAATAGTGAACAAAGGACCACAAGGTTATTCTTCTTGTCCGGCTGTTCTCTAACTATATTGAGTCTAACTCTTCCTTCAGGGTCCAGCAATTACCATCTGCTGTTGAACATCCATTATCCTGGAACATCCTTTGTCGGTTTATTATGTATATGGACCTGTAAGAATAAACTGGGAGAAAGTGTAAGTCAGATTGCCTATTAGTATTTTTGGTTAATATAGACGTATATCAACCTGACGAGCCTTTTACCCAAGAAGATATATACATAAAAGACTTATTTCAATCACCATTGGAAAACACACAGAAAAGTGATTTTTTATTACAGGTCTTGCAATGAAATAGGGCCAATAATAAACACTCTGCTTTTCAGGACCCTACTTAGGGCTCCAGCCCCTGCTAACCCCCTCCTAGCAATTCACCTGTGTGCACTCATCCCTATTAACGCCACAGCTTAGCAAGCAAGCAGGTAATGTGGGGATCTGTGCTTAGCAGTGCTTAGCTCTGTTTGTCATGCTCTTTCTTATCTATGCAATGCATTTTTTTTAGGTATTTTAAGCATATGGTTACAGATCCACTGATCCCTTAAAAGACTGCCTGGGAGTGGTTGAAGAACCTACTAAGTATTGACAGAGGTGTGGAGTGTCAAACAAAACATGTATTAAGAGAATCTGGAAAAATGTTTTAACATACTTAGAACCAGTCAGCCTTTATTAGATTATTATCTCACCAACAATTAAACTTTGCGTCTGCACATTCTACTGCCCAGCTACTGGGCATACAGTTGTCCTGGTTGCTGGTTTCAAGAGATGATTTTTAATTCGCAATTAGCTCTTGGTGTTAGTCTGTATGGTAAAAAAATGGTTGATGGATTTTGCACTGATGTCATTCTTTTCCTATGTTGCAATTCCATCACATTAATGCATAAATGCAGATTGCATGCACAAGGAGAACAAACTGGATGCCAGTCTGCTGAGACTGCACTTAGTACATAACTCTAATAATGCTGTAAGGGTTAACGATGCCTGGGTAGTTGCAGATAACAGCAGTTTGCAGTAAATCATTCAGTGCTGTCTCTGCTCCTCCAGCTCACATAATCATAAAAACAATGAAAAAAAGGACAAAGAAATGTGTGAGACATCAAAATAGATATATTGCTACCTTAAGGCATTGCTCTCGTTTCTCTCTCTTCCTCAGTGTCTCTCCGTCTCTTTGTTATGATTTGTTTTTTAAAACACTGCGACAATTGATTTCTTGCTCCAAGCTTATGCTTATTTCTAAGAGAAGACAAAGGAGTGATTTAAAAAAAAAAAAACTGAAGTAAAAAAATAAAAAAAATAAACAGGATTGTATCCTTTTTTTCAATTTTCTTTTTTTTTCAAATAGTATTGGATATAGTATAATTGAATAATGCACTCATCACCTGCCTTAGGTAATATCTGATGGGAGTGAAAATTCCTTGAGAGGCTTATATATATGATGTGCTTAAGAAAGTCTTTTAATGATATCTAATATCACCAAATAGTTTACAGTTCAATAGTTTTCAGTGTCTGAAGGAAAATTGACCAATGATTAGCACAATTAGGCACTTAAAATGACAGACTGCTAATGAAACGTCTTCATTGCCTCTTCAAAAAACTAACTTGGTTGTAGCACAAATACGATCAAATATACTACACTTGTCCTTTTAGGTTTATGTTGTGCTTGAAGGAAATTCTTGTAGTTTTATGCATATTTTCTACTGAAGCCTAGCTGTTGGTTTCATGATTACATGACCCCCAAATATATTCAGTTCCACCTTTTGTACGCAATGTTGCATTGTGCTCAGACACATTCTAGTGCAAAGTCAAAAGAAATATGGGGTAACAGAGGCAACGCCAACAGGTTTACTGGTTTCACCAGTCCCTCCCTCTGTATATACTAGCTGTGGTAGAAGGAAGCACAAGTTATTGCAGCATAAAAATCCAATTGCCTCCTGTGTTCTGAATCTCATGTATCGGATATACCACTTTTCCCACTATCCTGAGGATGAATACTACTAGTAGCGGTGTTGGTGTTGGAGGTAGGGGTGGATGAGGTTTCACCAGTCCTTAAGGCAGAGGAAGAGGTATTCAGACTCTCAGAGACCATGGCACTACTGATGGATAGTGAATTTGGGAACTCAACCCTTTCCCCTACCCCTCTTCAATTACTTATTGGACTTAGGATGTAACATTGTTGATGATGAGTTTTTTTTTTCTTATTGCAATACATTAGATATATGAATGATTGTGTATTGTGTAACCTAACAGAACTTTATTCAGCAATAATAGGTGTTTGTTTTCCAAAATGGGTTGGTGATTGGTCGATTTGCTGCTGCGATGATATCGTGTTTAAATTTAATAAATAATACACTGTTCACAGCACACACTGGACTGAACACACTCTTAAATAAATAAATTGAAAAACATGACTGAGGCAGAATATTTACCACTCAAAGCTTGTGTGAGAGCCATTGTGAGAGTAGCTAGGCAAGATGAACTTTTTCTCATTTTTTCCCCTTTTGTAAGGAATAAAAAAGTCTCCCAAAAGTATTTATATGGGGAGTTTTTAACAAAAAAAACTTTTAACAACTGTATATTGATAACTTAGTTTTAGGCTACGATCAATAACATTATGGCAATCTCCCATATCTCATTCAAACTTGTTGATTTTATCTTTATGAAGTAATTTAAATATGAAATCCCCTTAAAAGGCCAAAGTTTGGGTGCAGTCACACTTCTCTAGTGCTCTGAGAATACTTACTCAAAAACTGACTAACTTCAGGTGATTTTTTGGGAGTTTGCTGGTACTACAACCACATACTCCTAAAGCTGTGTCACAATGGGCTGTAAAAATAGAAAACCTAAAGTGCACAAAAGCCCACTAGGTCGAGATATCAGGATTTGTTCCATAGTTCTCAGAAGGCCATTTGCGAGAGCATGGAGCTCCTCAAGGACAGGTCCTCATACTCTTCAGAAGACCTACTATTGGAGGCCGGTGCAACCATCTCTGGTGGCCTAAAACAGGGACTTAAACCCCCATCACTGGAGGACCGGGACCTAGTCACAGCAACACTCCTTAAAAATATGTTCCCTGAAAAACACGCTAATATCTTACTGGATATAGCCTGCATCAAGGAAGCCGTGGAGAATGCGGTAAAGAGAGTTGCCATATCGGAGGCTTCAAATACAGTCCATGACACTAGACTCACAGATGTGGAAAAGAAGTTGGAAGAACTCTAGCAGCAACAAATGTACACCACAAATAGGGTAGAGGCTCTGGAGGATCACCGATGCAAATGTAACCTCAAGATCCGGGGTATACCCAAGTCATTGAGCATTGACAACTTACCTCACTTTATTAGACAGTTCCTTTATTAGACAGTATGTTTCACATACCCAAACCTGCAGACGTACCATCCGCTGCAGTTCAAGACCTCAACATTCGCTTCCAGTCATTGCAGGACAAGGCCCAAATCTAAGTGACAGTAAGGGACAAAATGACAATTGTCTTCAAGGGCTCTACATTACAGTTGTTCCCAGACCTGACCAGGAATACTCTGAATTGGCAGTGAACCCTAAGGCCTCTGTTGCAGACCCTGAGAACGAACAACATCTCATACCGGTGGGGCCTGCCAAGAGTCCTACTCTTCACGTTCCAGGGGGCTACCTTGATTGCCAGAACATACCAGGATCTGGGGGACCAACTGCAAAAGATGGGCCTCTATGCTGCCCCTGGCAGCTTCGGAACAGACCTATCCAACTTGAACCCAGAGACAATCCAGGAATTTACACCCCAAGCCATAGTGATCCCATCATCTGTCAGGGCTGTTACATGAAAGACAATAATGTTCACCTGGAGCGGTTGCTGGCAATCTGAGTCTCTCACCATCCCGAGACCCACCTGAACATTATCAACCAGTTCCTATTGAACTACATGTATGTTTGTTTTTTACCTGTTTTATTTCATTTTTCTTTTTTATTCTTTTACTTTTTTGTTTTCCTGGATACCTACCCTATCTTAAGGCATTTGCATGCCTCAGTCAGCTCTCACGCACAGTCGCCTGTAAGGGGTACCATACTCCCACACCCAGCAATGCCGCTTGTATTCCAGTTAATTATTTAGACCACACTTTTAATAATCCACAAACAACATGCAGATAGCTACATAAATAAGCCCCTTCTCACTCTTCTGTAAATGCTGACAACACATTTATTTCTTTAGGGGGAGCCCTACACATGAAGATACCTGTAGAATATTACATATTCTATATGTTCCTATTCAAATACATAGTAAGGTGTGGATGTATAATGTATTTTATGGCCAGAGTCTAAATTAAACGTTATGATGTAATTTTGCCTATAAAGAACTGAGGACAAAGGACCACGTTCTCTTTTTCCTACGCTCCGCTATCCTCTCCTGGTGTGTCCCTGACTTGCTGATACAAAGACGAGTAGACGACTACTTAAGATCTCTCACTCTCTGTAACGTCGTTTAGAAATACTATATGTTAAGTATATTACTGTTTGCTTTTGAAGCAGAATAAAAAAATAAGGAACGTCAGATTGTGTATTAGTACTTTGTTGGCAAGATAGTATAGATATATATTAACCTGGTAGGCCTTTAACCAAAGAAGATTATATATATATATATATATATATATATATATATATATACACACACTATTCACAGCACACACTGGACTGAACACACTCAGAAATAAATAAATTGAAAAACATGAGTGAGGCAGGATTTCTACCACTCAAAGCTTGTGTGAGAGCCATTGTGAGAGTAGCTAGGCACAGGCCCGGACTGGCCATCGGGCACACCGGGCAAATGCCCGGTGGGCCGCGATGGCCGTGGGGCCGAGGCCGGCAGGGAGATCACAGGATCTCCCCTGCCAGCCCGTGCAGGGCCAGCGCTATCCGAGCGCCGGCCCCGCTTTGTGCCTCCATGGGCTGGTGGGGAGATCAAAGATCTCCCTCACCGGCCCAGAGGCATGGAAATGCGGCCGTCGGCTGGGGAGGAAGATAGGGAGGCAGGAGAGAGGACCCGGCGGAGCTCTAACAAGCAGCTCTGCCGGGTCCTCTCGAGGGATTCTGAGCGTTGCCACGCTCAGATCTCGCGAGAGTGAACTCTAACCTGCAGGTTAGAGTTCACTCTCACCACTGGACCACCAGGGAAGGATGGCAGAACGGCTCCCCTCCCTCCATGGCAGAACGGATCTCCTCCCCCCCCCCCTCCCAGGATAAAGGTAAGAAGGGAGGAGGGGGAAATCATTTTTTTTTTTTATTATTAAAAAAAAATATTTAAATTTAAATAAAAAATACATTCACTCACACACACAGCACCACCAGACACACACAGCACCCCCCAGACACACACAGCACCCCCCAGACACACACAGCGCACCCAGACACACACAGCGAACCCAGACACACACAGAACCCAGACACACACAACGCACCCCTCAGACACACACAACGCACCCCTCAGACACACACAACGCACCCCTCAGACACACACAGCGCACCCCTCAGACACACACAGCGCACCCCTCAGACACACACAGCGCACCCCTCAGACACACACAGCACACTCCCACACACACAGCACACTAGACACACACAGCACACTCCCACACACAGCACACACACACAGCACACTCCCACACATATACAGCACACACATATATATATAAAATAACCCTCAGTGAGTTAACAGAAAAAGAAAATTAGAAACCTAGAATGTGACAGCAGATAAAAACACCCTCACACACAGCACCCCTCTTACATACTCACACTGCGCCCCTCACACATACAATAAGTCTAAATATATATATATACACACACACACACACACACACACACACACTACAGCACCCCTCACACTGCACCACTACACACATTACGCTCCAGATACACACTAGATCCCTTACTCTATATGCACTCTTTATCCTCTATACACACACACACACTGGGTCCTTTACACAGTAGATCTCCTACACACGCACACACTACATTCCTTGTCAGCAAACACATACAACATTCTCTAAACACACCCTCTCTGCAACCCCTACACACACTACGTCACCTATACACACACACTTCAGCCCGTATGCACACACTCGCTGCATCCCCTATAAAACTATGCCCCTATACACACACTCTCTACAGCCCCTAGCCACACATATTACACCACAAACACAAATTAAATTGACCTATTTACACAATACCACACCACACTCTACACACACACAATCCCACAAGCAGGCTCCAAACATATGCACCATGCACTTTCCTGGCCCATTTGTCCTCTGGTATCCCACTTGTGGAGACACCAGAGACAATTTAAAAGCAAACACAGCGCAAGCATGTTATTAAATTTGCTTGCGCTGCGCAGAACAAATTCAGGGCCTTTTTCTAATGCCAGAGCTCTTCAGCAGGGCTCTGGGCATTGAACCAACATGCTCACTTTGAGAGGGGGCGTGTTGTCATTAGTGATGACAAAACACACACTCTCTGGCCCCGCCCCCTTCTTAGGGGGCCGCTCTGATTGAAAAATGCACCGGCCTAATTTTTTTCCCAGTCCAGCCCTGGCTAGGCAAGATTAACTTTTTCAATTTTTTTCCCTTTTTAAGGAATAAAAAAGTCCCCCAAAAAGTATTTATGTGGGGGAATTTTTTAACAAACTGTATATTGAAAACTTAGTTTTAGACTATGATCAATGACATTATGGCAATCTCCCATATTTCATTCAAAGTTGTTGAATGATTCAACTGAGAAAACACAAGGTATTACAATACCATATCATTAGAATTCCACACTGAAAGGGTAATCACTCCAAGTCCTGTGTTACACTACTATATTGTTTAAAGCTGTCGCTACTCCAACTTCCCTATAAAAAAATGGAGAGCAAAAAACGGGTCGCAAGAGTATTCTGAGAACGGACAGCAGCTAAAATAGCCTGTCCTTCGGTGGGTCCCCGCTCAGAACTCAAGCTGGTTTTAGCTCATCTTGTGCCATTACAGAGAGAATATATCTGAAGCATATCAGACTGGTCCCACCCATACGGGCAGTCCAGAACCAAAATGCCAGCAAGTTCTCTCTGCACGAGAGATACAGCAACCCCAGACGATCGTTTCAGCCTTGTTAGGCATCATCAGTGAGGCATAGCTGATATCTCTCTAGGCACCGTGAGCAAGGGGTCCACGTCTGGATTACCCTTTAAATTAATGGAGAGCAAAAAATGGGTCGCAAGAGTATTCTGAGGACGGACAGCAGCTAAAATAGCCTGCCCTTCGGTGGGTCCCCGCTCAGAACTCAAGCTGGTTTTAGCTCATCTTGTGCCATTACAGAGAGAACATATCTGAAGCATATCAGACTGGTCCCACCCATCCGGGCAGTCCAGATCCGAAATGCCAGCAAGTTCTCTCTGCACAAGAGATACAGCAACCCCAGACAATCGTTTCAGCCTTGTAAGGCATCATCAGTGAGGCATAGCTGATATCTCTCTAGGCACCATGAGCAAGGGGTCCACGTCTGGATTACCCTTTAAACTAATGGAGAGCAAAAAACGGGTCGCAAGAGTATTCTGAGAACAGACAGCAGCTAAAATAGCCTTATAAAAAAATGTCCCTATAAAAAAATTAAAAACCCTCGTTCCTCATCTTTTCCCAAGAATTCATGGGTAGAAGTCAGCCTTCTATACGTTCTTCCTTTTTGCTCATTGACCAACGCTAAGGTCATTAAATAGTATTTACCTGCATTTTTGCATTACTCTATGTGTTTTTACTCTCTGTGGCTTGAGAAAAATAAAGAATTCAAATAAAAAGGCCAACGTTTAAGTTTTGTATGATCTTCTCTTGGTTCTGAGCCCATCCTTCTGAGAGTTGGAGCATGGTGCTTCATGAAAGAAGGTGAATCCTGTGGAATTTAATTATTTGGAATTTGTGAGATTGAAAACTTATAATCAATATTCTCAACAAATCAGTATTTTTCTTTGCACTAATACCAACAAAGCTCATCCTTTCATTGTCTACATTTCTCAAACTCCATTTTCCATGCATTCCAGTTATCATTTTATTTCATCTTTTTGATTGGCACCTTTCCTTAGCAACTATCTATTTTGCAATCCACAATTTATTTTATAAAACTCTGTTTTGCTGGAGTATCCATAACTTAAAGTTTTAAATTTGTCTTGTACTTTTGAGTATTTATGCCTTCTATAGAAAACACAGTTT